GCGTCGGAAGTTTCCTGGCATCGCCAGGACAGGTGCACTTAGGTATTGTCCGCGGCAACGAGAGACCGGGCATTTCGTTGTCTCGTCTCGAATGATATGGTGACAGCTGAAGAATCATTACGCGACAAAGGATAACGCCCGTATGCAGCTGCCGGCGTACGTTTAATTGTACCGCAAATAGTGTTTGCGATTGTTCTTCGCGCCTGTTCACCGGTTTTAGAGTTCACTGCCGTTTTGTAGATCTCGCGGGTGCTCGCCGGGATATCGAGAGAATTGACATTGATCTGGAATCGCTAACACGAGATGATTAACGTTGCCGTCACTCTGTAAGGAAAGCGAGCGTTTAATGAATGTTAAAATCGATATTCACAATAGCGCGTATTATGTTTAGACTAGATATTTTTTTTAATTGCAGTGAACGCTGCAACACAAACTGCAACGATCCACCCAATTTATATTTTATTTATCATAAACTTTATCGATAGACAAGACATTTAAATTACAAATACACGGAGAGAATTTTCTCTTAAAATTTATCCTGAAAATCGTGTAATCGTGAGACAACGTGCTACTTTGAAGAACTTTGTGAGATTTTTTTTAAATTTTACCAGTAAAATGTGTATTAAGTATAATTACTAGTGAAATATATGGTAAAATTTCCAAAAACTCACAAAATTTCTTGAAATGCTGCGTTGTCCCACGATTACCGTCTCTCCGTGTATAAAAATAACGATCATTGTACAGATATTTTCATTCCATATGTGTACAAGTAAAATTAATTGCTTCAGAATATTACTTGACCACGTCTGGCAAATTTTTATGTTTAAACTCACAACGTTTCGACCATGGTCTGTGGTCCTTTTCAAGTGATACTTGTGTCAATAATTCCGTATGATAAATCAAAAGAACAGATCTTAATTTCACGAACGGCAGAACATGACTGACATGTTCAATAATTTCACGAACAGTCATGTTCTGCCGTTCGTGAAAGACCTGTTTTTTTAATTTACCATACGGAATTATTTGACACAGTTATCACAATTATCACTTGAAAAAGGACCACGAATCATGGTCGAAACGTTACGAGTTTAAACGTAAAAATTTGCCGGACATGGTCAAGTAATATTCTGAAGATTTTAATTACTTCTGGCGACTCATAAGATTTCCTCCAGTCATAAAATTAATTGGTCGAACCTGCTTTCCTAGTAACGTTCGATGATACTGAGCCAACGTACTTTCTGTACAACGTCACGTACATGTGCACTACATCGCGCATCGGTACAAATTGAGTGATAATAGAATGATTGTGGTGTAATGAGGTCAACTTGGACTCGTGTCTTCAGTGTCGTGCCTCTAAAAGCACGCAGTACGTCAAAGCATATTGTGCATTAATATCCGTAATATCGTCGCATGTGCGTCACAAAAGCGCGGAAATGGCGCTCCGAAAATACACAAGTATTTCCGCGCATAATTTTCCCCCGTGCGCGCATCCAATTTTTTGTCGTTGCGCAACACTCGCCCCCCTCGCACTATCGACTACCATATTAAATTGCAAAATATAATCTTTTGCCTCAAGGCGATTTAGAAAGGATGATAAAGGGAGGGAAATCGCGTCGATCTTCTCTCATTGTCCTAAATCTTGAATAAGCTGCCTCGTTGCTCCTCCGGAAACGTTACTTTCGAACGCGGCACGCAAATGCCGAGTTGTGAATGGGACTGAAACGCCGCCGAGGAAAAGCGTTGCATGTATACCCCCCCTTTTTTTACGAGAGATCGTGCGTAATACCCCAAATTTATCGTACCCGAACGGACTGCTTTCAGACGCATTGCCCGTTCGACGCGAGAGTCAATTCCGCCTAGGGGTTGCCAAGCGTATCTCCGCTTCCTTGCTCAAGGCAAGCGGAGACTCCAAGTCCGCCTTGCCGGCCGTGTGTTTCATTATTTGACACTCCCGCCAAGCCTAGCTAAAGAAAGTTATAAAGCCCAGGTGATCCTGTTACGTCCAACGCAATATCAGCGTCTATTTCACCGTATATTTCATTCGTCACTTTTTATAGCCGATAATAGCCCCGGAACAAACCCTTAAGTAACAACTGTGTCGTCGTGATAGCTGAATGAAGTTGACCGTTAGAAATACGTTTGCGTAGGAAATTCGAGATTAGACGAAATCAGCTGCGTCGAGAGAAAATCGAGAGGCTAGCGACCGTTGGAGGAGACATCGTCTATCTGTTTTCTCTCCCCCGGGGAAAGGAGGAGGGGGAGGGAGGGGATCGCGTATAGTAACCCGAGCCGGCAATACACCTCTAGAATCTCCCCCCCGTTCGCCTTCTATATTTTCACGAGGGGACGAGGATGCGAGAGCGGTTCGCGCACGCGTCGGTTTCTCCGACTTCCTGCCATCCTGCCTTGCTTCCGCTATTTCACATTATGTTATATGCATACGGGTCGCCGCGCTGCTGACATCCTCGCCACCGGGAATCCCTATTAAGGAGACGCATCTGCGCGCGATCCGAGCGATTCCGCCGCCGCGACGACATGGCAGACAGATGCTGGACCGAGCAACCCCTTATTTGACGCCGCGGAATGAAAGAAATTTACAGCGCGGCCCTTCGCAGCGAGCACGTTATCATTCCCGAAAATGCGGTCGGAAACTCGAGATCTGGGCGCGATTGGGAAAAGGGGGGTCCGGGACCCCCGAATGATCGAGCTCCTGGAAAAGACGCGAAAAGACGTACTTCTGTCCTAGCATTTTGCATCTGCAAATGTTAAATCCGATCATTGTGGATTCTCGCGAGGGGGAGAGACACCGAGTAAATTGCTCGTTGTGTGTTTCTCCGAAGCGTTCTCCAAAACGTATCGCCGCTCGGATTTTAAGTTCCGTGAACGCGGCGAGTGAGCTACCGAGGCGTGTCTCCGTTTTCTCGAGGCTACGGCCGGATTTGCGAGGCTTCGCGTTCACCTCCGCGGGACCGCGGAGGGCACGTGAGCTACGTCGATTCACTGGCGTTGAAAATCTCTGGCGTGAACAAGAAAAACAATGTAGCACATTTGCACAGAGAGTGTCTCGCCTCGACAGACATCAGATTAAACATCCAGAGAGAGATACACTTTGCGCTTTTGTCCGATTGCTTAATTTGCACGAATTTTCACTCGCGCGTTTACGCAAGACTCTGATTTTACTCGCGGCGAACAAAGCTTTTTCCTCGTGAACGATGGAGACGTTCAGTCAGATTCTTTTTTTTTTCTCTCTCTTTCTCTCTCTGAAAATCGCATTGTTTTCGGCGAGAAACTTTTCTCTGCACCCGCGTCCTGAAAGTGACGCGTCTATGCATTTGCGGTCAACGAGGTGTATTATCATCGTCGTACAGCGACGCGGTGAAGAAAAGACGTGCTCGCTGCCCGCGCGCGAGCGCACGCGGCCACGCGTGCATATAAATAGCCGCATATGGGCCGCGTGCGTGCGTGCGTGCGCGCGCGCGCGCGCGTGCGAGTAACAATGTGCGCGGTTTTCACGTGCGCGCGGCCGCGTACAGCGGGGATATAATGAGAGGACGAGCGGGGAATTAATTGAAGTGGCGATGTAAGAAGCATACTTTCGGACGTGTCTGGCGTCTCGTAATTATTCTCTCTTACGGAACTGCTGCGTTGTAATTAAATCGTTAAATCGCCCACGGGAATGAAAGGTTCAAGTTACGTGTCGCGTTCGTTATAACAGAGCTGTTCGTCGCACTGGAGAAATAGGCTGTATACATTTTATTATCAACCCCGTCGTGCAATTATCGCGACTGCGAAACGATCGCTTCGATTTCCAACGGACGCTTCCGTATCCCAGAGGAGCCTCACCGGCATCTATCCATTGTATATTATTGAATTTCAGTGAATAGGGGGCGGACACGCGGCGCCCGTTACTACTGCCGCGCGTAACCGTTTATGCAAGAGAGACGTCGAGTGTACCGACGAGAAGGATGTGCGAAAGGAAGCCGCGGCCACGGTGCCGTGGGCATATTTCCCATCCGTACGGGAGAGAATGCCGAGCCTCCCGGCTCGTTTCCTACCCCTCCCCCTCCCCCGGTCGCGAATGAAACGTCCGCGACACGCACACGTGAGCCACGAGCGGGAGAAACGATTTCGTCGAAACCGCGCGGCGTAACGAACCCCTTTCGCCTCGAGGGCCGCGGAGGTCCGTTTTGACTTTGGCGCATTTTCGTTCAGGGTTAGGTGGCCGAATTCAGATCGGATACCAAATGCGGATCAACAATTTGTTGAGTCGCTAGCCGAGTCGAAATTTTGGTACTGTTTTGACACTTTTAAGGATAATTTACACCCACTTAGCTGATCTGTGCACCTACATAGGCCAGCAACAGCCCACTTTGATGACATTATATTTTTTTACTCCTCCCTTGAATCTTTGATTCTAAAAATTTACTTTAGCTCCTACTCAAAAGGACCTACTTTAATGCTAAATTGGCAAAAGCAGAAATTTTCGACACTAACAGTTTGAAAGTAGGAGTCAATTTTGTACCTGCAGTTCGACCTCTTTCACAGTCTTAGGTCCTACTATATGATAGAAGTAAAGGTTCAACACAGGGCCAAAATTTCGACCCGGGTAATAAGCGACATTTTTAAGTAATTTACGTAAACTCTGCTCTTTTATATAATATTTACAACTGTATGCTATATTATCCATGTCATAAAAGGCATTGACTTGTTGGCGACTCATCAAATTGTTGGCCCGCATTTGGTACCTGGGGCTCGATTTTTGAATTCATTAAAAAAAGAAACGCATGCTCTTACAAAATAAGTTGCACGCGGTAGCTTTCGGCCAATCGACCTGCAGCTTTTCTATAAGGATAGAATTTTCGCACACGTATCCGTTTTAAATAAATTCGAGAATCGAGCCCCAGCTCCGAATTTGGTCCCCTTATCCTGTGCCGAGCGTATTCGCGCTCTGCGGGAAGCAATGTCGCATCCAGCGGCGTCTGACTGTATCCCGTTAACCGCTGGGACAATGACTGACAAAGTGACATCGCGACGTCGTCGTCGAGGGTCATTGTTTCACGGACACTTTTATTTCTCTCAACCTTCCCGACGCGTTTTTTTGCAAGGGCAAAATCGATAGGCCAGATAACGGCGATGAGAGTAGCGGCAACTCGGACTGCTGGTAACGGCACCGCGGCCGTCTGTACTTGGCGAGGGTGCATAATGTGTTGCACATCGCATGCACCTTACGCGAATGCCGCAACCTGTCGGCGAAATTTGAGTTATCTACGATGGGGTCGCGGAGAATACGCACCATTTCAGCGCGGTAATCGGTGCACAAAGCCAGACAGGGGAGGTTATCGTCGATATGAAGGGGTTGCTGCCCCTCTGGCCAACGTTTAGCAGCAAGCATTTCATCGTTGTCGTATGTCTCCCTCTCCCGAATACTAATCGATACATTTACAAATTTATACTAGCTCTCCGTTTTGCATCGCGTCAGTTTCGTGGGTGCCGTTAAAGTTTTCATCGCGCACCGAAGAAGTACCGAAATAAAGAGCATCGAATTCTCGCGAGTATCCGTCGTGTCGATCGGCGAGATTGCGATTTCACCTCGTCAACTCGATACAGATCCAATTCTCTTCTCCCAGGCCGTAACGACGTTTCTTTTCGCACGTAAATTGATTCGGTGTCTCCTTCGCGCAAATTGAGTTTAACCCGGCAGGAAAAGGTAGTTCATCTCTCCCCTAGAGATGGCTCGCCCTCTCTTCTCCGCTCCGATATATTTTTCTTCCACGGCGCAAGCGTCATTAACTCGATCATTATTGAAGAAGAACTCTTGCGTCATTAAATCATTTCTGCGTCTGAAAGTGCCCGCATGGAGATTAAACGAGACGTCGGACCGAACGGATTGAACGAATTTCGTTGTCTCCGCGCGTGACGGATTAAAGGTATATGGGTACCTGTATGAAGTCCCTTCGCGCGTGACGCCGTCGCGTCGTGCCACGAATATCATTTTTCTTCCCTTTTTATTTGTCATTATGTAATTTGTAGTTCGCGCGACGATCCTGGCCCCGCGTCGTCATGGGATGGGAGACGCATCTCGAGTCCCATGGAAACACGATCTCGCTCTCGATACGCCCCGAGCTGCGCGCGGTTCCAAAACGGAGGCCGTTGCGATGCATTCGCGGATTTATTGCCATTTCGATTCGGTAGACGTGATTCAGTCGAGCCAGTTAAAAAGCGAGAGCAGCTCCGCATTCCAGCGCGTTTTCCAGTTTAAACCGCACGATGATACGCTCTTAAAGGATTTTCTTGATTAAATTGTCGCACGATCGGAGCCTCCTTTCACTAATCATTCCGTATTCATCGTGGACGACAGTCCCGGCCGGCAGAATGGAATTGTATTCCTAGAATTTCATGGGAAAAGAGAATCGTGCGAACCACGAGCGTTAACGATCCCCGTCTAGAGGTCGAAATTAATGGAGAGGCGTCGCAGTCCGCTCTTCCAGTCGGCGATTACTTCGTACGTCCTAACTCCGGGCGGCGATGTATCCCTGGTCCCGCGCGTTGGGGTGGCCGGGTGCATCGCGGCCAGGTAAGGGGCAGCTGTCCACCAGGTGCCAGTCCATCCCTCCACGCGCCTCCACCTTCGGGACGGTGGGGATCCGCCCGGTCTCATTGGGTGCCGGCTCGCGCGCGTTGCGGCAATACTCTCGCGCTCCGCGACAGAAAACAGCCAGTCGTCCCAGGGCGCTCGACGGGGTACGCAGGCGATCCGCGATCCACGTGCTAGATCGCCCCACTCGTCGGCGTGACACGCGGTCTTCGTTCGCAGTCCCTTTCCTCTCTTTCTCTCTCTCTCTCTTTCTCTCTTTCTCTCTTTCTCTCTTTCTCTGTCTTGGGTCCAGGGTTTGTACAGTGACGCCCATACGATAGACACGTCGCCGAATGAACGACAGTCGCGTCTGGACGGGAAAGGATTACGGAGTCACGTTTAATTCATAGTTTCACAGTCGGTCGTTTGCCTCGTCGAATCTTCGTTCCGCCGAGGTCTTCGTTCAGGATAGTTTCGCGATACCTTGACGATCGACGCTCGTAGTGGTGTGAAGGAGAAACGGAGGGGAGTAATCTCGTCTTCGCGATCAGTGTCCGAAAGTGCGAACGTCAGTGAGCCACCGGAGTTAGGTCCGTCGTACCTCGACTCCGCGACTGTTTGTCCCCCCCAAGTCCTTCCACATTCATCCCGTACACCTGTAGTCGCGGCTTTTCGCGCCTGACTCTCGCGGGAGCAACACGGCCACATTTATGGGGGTGTCCGGAGAGTGCGCGGTCAAGGGCAGCAAAAGCAGCCACCCCTGTCACTGCTGCGGCCACGTCGGCAGTTCCGGCGCGAGCGTGCAACAGACGCAGCAACAGCAACAATCCTGCGAGCCATATTACCACCACCACCATCAGCACCATCATCATCACCATTATCATCACCACGGCAAAAACGCACCGGCAAGCGCGTCGCCGCAGCACAACAACAGCGGCGACAACAACATCCTGGCACCGTTGCGCAGCAAGATGAAAGTGCTCAAGAAGCTCAAGCGCAAGATGGGTCTAGGTGAGCCGCACCTCCCTCACTTCCTCGTTGTCTCTGATGATTTCCGGTCATTGCTCGGCCGATCATGCGACTAATCGATCGATCACGAGCTCGTTCCGCGAGAATCGTTTGATTATCTTTTATCGGTCAACGACATTCAGACACGCATCCCTCGTGTACGAGGATTGTTAGCGAAGTGTAGGTCGTTCGATTCGTAAAGATAAACCGGCGGTTGGATTCACCAACTTTTATTTGATTTTACATTTATCTATTTTGCCGACCTTAACCGTGGAATTTTATTGCGAGAAAGATGGACTCCTTTTCTTCTCCCCCCAAATACATACTTTTATTGATGTTTCATTGTAGAATATTAAGTAACATTCCATGGATCATACCCCGTTGCCTCAGCTCTTGCCAAAGCGATCTGCATTGAAATCGTTGTTGTAAAATTGAATTCATCGAACACCCCGATGAATATTGCTGATGGAGCCGCGGGCGGCGAACTCTCGTCATCGAGGAATGAATTTCTAAACTCTAAAACGGCGATAGAACGAGCGGGGAAACTATTTCGCTTTTATTCCCTGTGGTCCGTCGGCGGTTTATCGCACCGCGAGTCCAATAATTGTTGACGACGCATCTGCTGCCTCCAACTTTTCGCTATATTTCGACAGAAGTTTAACCATTACTTTTCCGAAATTATTTAGGAAGGTACCTGTAGCGAGTGGCGGTTTAAACCTCCGACGAAAAATTAATACACGTTTTATACGGGAGAACTGTTTAACTTGCGGGGAGAACAGAATAATTTCGAGGAGAGAATGGATTCCCAATTCAAAATTTGTCATTATTGTCGTATATGCTAGATTCGAGGAGTAAACCGCCGAGGGCATTGCGGGGCATTACTGGACATTGTTTGGGCATTAGTGGATGTTATTTGGCCTTGCTGAGTCATTATGATGAAACTAAATAGATAAAACAAGGTAAAATGATAAGATTAAGGGCCTGTTTCACAAACATCGGTTATCTGCTAACCGATGGTTAATGGATTCTGTGTCTCTTCTTAAGTAATAAGATGGAAAAAGTTAGGGAGTCGACTGAACCTTAGTTAACAGTTAACCGATGTTTGTGAAACTGGCCCAAAGTATGCTCACTGGGCATTAGTAGGTATTGGTGTATTAATTAGTACCTGGACCACGGTTTTACTAGGATTCACACCCTCAGAAAGGATTTCTGTTACCGAGACAAAAATATTCTTGACGCATTTATATTTCTCACAACCTCATTTAGTATAAAAAGAAGAGAGTATCAAAATAAAACCAATAATTCTTATTCTCCTCTATCAAATTAAAAAAGATTGACTTACTATATTGAGACAGGAGTAACTTATATAAATGTAAGTTTATATGTTCTTGCGTTTAGAATAATTTTTTCCTTCATCTTACAACGGTTGGCACCACGATATTTGACAAGAGATTATCATTTTATCCTAGATTTTAGAATTTTTCATTTCAGATTAAAAGATTCCTTTCTCTACGGTAAATATGATTGGCGCTATATCGATCCTATTTTATGATACATTAAAGTGTAATAGCATTGGATCGGGAAATTTTTTCTGTGGGTCCACATTTTCATAATCTTTATTCCTATCTATACATCGATGAGTTTCAGGCTGTAGTTCACAGAGCTTCTATAGATGTCTGTAGTAATACATACATACAGCCTGCAACTCAGTGACTTGTATAGATGAGAAAAATGATGATAAAAATGCGGGTCCAGGCATTACTGTACATGATTTTGGTCAGCGGTTTACCCTCCGGTTAGATTCGTAGAGCAATTAATTTATAATACGCGATCGATACTAAGTTGGTGCGCAATATAGTTGAAGCTGATTAAAAAATACTTTTTAATCTGCAAGGAGCTTTGTTTCCTACGCCTATCAATATTTCAGGGAGCGTATCGTCGTCGCGCTCGTTTCCACCGCGCGTTCGCTAAAAGCTCATTTCGCGGCGAGCTTATGGCCCGAGCTGTGTTTCGTTGACCGACTTTTCCTTCAATGGACGATCCGCTGGATTCCACGAGCGAGCCGCGGCACGAGGAGGCATTTCGCCTTCTCATTGGCCTGCTCCTCCGCCTCGCTTCCAACATCCCGCGGCGTTCTCATCAGATATCCTTCCTTCGCGATCCAGTCTTTCGCGAATGTCGCATTGTCGACGACAGTTTCTCGCAAAGTAACTGGAAACTACTCCTCAACCCCTTTGCTCACGCGACTTTTGTCTTCGATACCCATTGCGCTCGCTCTCTTCTTTATCTTTCCAATGTTCATCGTCTTGTCACAGAATTTCGAGTGCATTTCATGATTCATGATTATATATATTTATAAAAGACTAAAGTTATTAACAGAAATCGATGCGTCTAATTAATATTAACATACGTGCATATAACGCTTGAAAGATAGCCATGATACTTTTGTACTTATTGTACGCAACATGATTCCAAGAAGAGGTTTTTATTTGTGGCTACATTCTCATTGATCTGTACATTCCGATGTAATCTGATGGCCGAGATCTTTAAATGCTTTTTCCCCCGTTGGACTTTATAATACACAGTTCTCTACTATGAGACAAAGTGTCAGTTGTTGTCGATTGAAATCGAGGTTAAAGGTTACGAGTGGAGTTTACGAGTGAAGTGGAATGGAGTGGAGTGGAGTGGTGTAAGGAAAAAGAGTGATTTTTCTTGCGCTATAAATTTCACGTGTCAACGACTTTCCTCCACCGGAGGAAGGTTTTAAGGGACCAACGCAATGCGAGCCCTTTGTGGGAGGTCTTTGAACCGTTGAAGGTTTGTGAAAGGGACGGTTTCATGCTCCTGGATACGTAATTGTATTAAAAAAGAATTGTTTTCAACTAATTCTTGCGTAGCTTGGATTATCCATTACTACAATAAAAAAACAAGTAACAATATAATGTTCCGCGAAGATATCGCTGTAAAACTGTTTTAATCTTCGGGTTTATGATTTTTTAAATCTGATTGGCAAAAATTTTGCAAGGTTTGTAACCGCGATTACATCTTTCGCTAATTGTAAATATAATATGAATTAAATGGGAAACAAACAATATGCAATACGTTGCAACATTGCAAAATTATCTGATTGTTAGTCTTATCGTTTCGGCCGTCAAGAATTTTAGAAAACAAAATTTCTTTTTTCAAGAATGACAACTTTGTTCGGAGCCGCGATCAATCTTTTCCCCCCGTTTCTCGTGCATGAGGGAAGTAACTTTTGTCTCTGTCTCTCCTCTTTCCCTCTTTCGATCAAAGTAAACTAGAGCAAACAGCTGACGCAGCCACCTTGAAATTTCGAAGTTGTCTTGCTGGTTGCCGTGCATGAAATGCCTGGTCCAATTGATAAGCGTATGTAGTGTATCCAGTATTTCACTTGTTATACGTCTAGACTACAATTTTACTGAGAGAAAGAGAGGGGGGGGGGGATGAAAAGGGGAGAGAAAAAGAAAGGAAGAAAAAGGATACTCCCAGCGCGATAGAACACTTTATTTTTTGCCACGATTATCTTCACGGAATAAGCGAAATGAAGAAAGTAAGTCGTCGCATTGCTTCTGGGGTACCAGTCTTTGCTCTTCCTCCGTTGCCTCTTCGGTCCTTTTTCCCCGTTTTTTTTTACCGCTCGGTGAATCACTTGTTTCTCGGTTGCAGGGATTCCCAGCCTCTTTACTTTCTCATCCTCATCGCGACTCCTTTTTTTCCCCGTTTTCTTAACGGCCACAGCTGAGATACCTGTTTCTTTCTCCGTCTTTTGTAACCAGTTTGTCTTACTATTTCATCTCGCGGTCCTTCTTTCTGCCTGTAACCGGGACATGTCGTGTTGTTCGATCGTCGACGAGGCGAGAAGGAAAACGGTTCTTAGCCTCGAAAGATTTTTTCGCGCGAGATCGAGAAGTTGATGACTGGGGATCGAAGTAGATTTACTTGTTCGGGGAAAGGGTCCCTTTCCCCCTTTCCGACCTGAGTCATTGAAAGCGATTGGTGACGCATTAAATTGCTGACCGTGACGAAACGTTATTGCAATGCAAATTGCATAATGTTGCGCTCGCGTGTGCGTACAAACAATATACCACCTGCGTCGGATGTGATTCAAGGCTTCAGAGTTTCCCACAAGTTTCACTTTGTCACATCCATTGAGATTTTCATCTTCAGCTATTAACATACTTTCGAATCTACGATAAATGCTCGAACCTTGATTTATCGATTTATTTAATATACGTTGAAGAAGGAGAATTAAATGAAGTATTACTTACGTCCTTGGAATCTGAGGTGTTCGTTGAGTTTCTCCTTTAATTATAATCACTTATTTACAACGTAGCTCGACGAATAAATAATTCTTCAGAACACACATGCACGCGCGCATTATAAAGCAATTACTAACATCCAGTCGCGGATCTCACGCCCGGTATTTCCCCAATTACGTAGAAATGAAATTTCTTACGGTTTCCGCGTGTCTCCCGAGTCCTCCTTCCGGTGCGGGCGAGCCCCGCGGGTTGTCCGAGTCGTTTCATAGAGGAAGATTCAGTCCAAGAAGCGATCACTGACCGTCCTCACTGACTCGACAACCTCACACACCCAGCCACCCACTTTCCGCTTCGCCGTGTGACGTCAGAGAGTGAGCCGCGGACGGAACCCGTCTTTGTTCCCACAAGCGTTTCGCGAACCGGTTTTGCGGTTCACGATGTGCCGCGTAGTATTCCTGTCAGCTGGCCGAACCGTTTAATCGGGGAATTCTCCGCTTATTTTAAGGGTTCGGCGCGGCCGTGTCCTCGGGTGTCCGCCTTCCTTTCCGAGAAACGTCCATTCATCCTTTCTTCCTGACTGACGCCAGTAAATTAGCGATAACGCCAGCATGTGCGTGTGATAAGCGTATCAAAATACACAACCGCAACGCATTTATCGCACTCTTGTCTCGACAGGATATATCCACATAAATAATAGCACGTACCAGTGATGGACGGAATGGT